AGTCTTTAAATACAGTAAATAATCATGCCTGTTAAAGATTTCATTAACAGATTTAATTTTTTTTAACTGTTCAGAAGTGTGGGAAGGAAATGTGCCCATAAGAATGAAGGCCCTGAAAGTTAGTGGATAAATCCATCAACATTTCCTTGTTTAAGAGATTTTCCTTACATGTTATAGAAGCCTTGTAGTAAAGCCACTCTAAAGAATAGCAAAAGTAAGATAAAATAAGCAAGTTTTTCAAGTCCTTGCTCTTCACCACTAGAACATAAACCACAACTGCATGTAAAGCTTCCCTACAAATACTAAGACCCAGTCTAGCAAGTTAAGACACTGACTGCACACAAAAAATGGTACTGAAGTTGTGTTTGCATTTAAGATTGCTACGCAATACCACTGTGGCACAAAGAGGTTTATCCATGGCCATGTTCAATAGCTCATACAAACAGTGAAGCATGCAAAAGCTACAGCTGAGCAGGTAGAGAAGGGAGGAAGGATAGCTTCTGCCTCTGTGATATCTGACTAAAATAAACATCAACAGACACAGGCATTGAGGGATCTTATGCTAGAATAGCTTATTGTTATTTACACATCCAAGTGAAACAAGACAGTGTAGCTCCATTTGTACCCAAGTAACTTTACAGCAAATGTATCCTCACTTTCAGAATTGGGTGCCTCCAATTTTGCCCCTCCATTACTGTTAAATACAACCCAATGTGACAAACAGTTGATACAGGTCTCAGCTCTGCTTCCTACAGCATTGAAGGGGGACAGAGGAATGGGGGACCACACCCAGTGTTCCTCAGCTGTAATATCCACTCATCTCAGGCCTTGCAGGGCCTCTCAGGTCAGCCTATTTCCCTCCACCTTTCTTCCTCAGTGCTCTCTCAAGTCAACTTCTAGGCCATGCCAATGAAAAAAAAAATCTGTCTGGGTTATGAGCTGCACAATCAGACTTTATGGTGTTTCCAGTTTAATTAAAGAGAAACTGAATCCAAGAATTACACTTGAAGTAGATCTCATGCTCCAAGTATTTTCAGCTGAAAGAGCTTTATTGGGAAAAGAAAAACCAAGTGAGCATATGTATGCAAGTAGTTAAGTCTACAAGGGATAAACATTTGCAGATTATTATGCTAAATTTCTAGAATTCAGCTGAATCAAGCAAGGGATTAGTCTTTTCTATTCCCAGTAGTTCTCTGTAAAGAACAGAAATGATTGATTTTTCCCTCAACCGCATGATTTAGAATAAAAATTTAGCTCTCAAAACCAAGCTAAGACAGTTGTTCGATCACATCTCACCTGCTGCTGCATGCCAAGGAGCAGAAGTGGGGGAAAAAAGTCACACAGGGACTGCACAAAGGGGAAAGTGTATCAATATTTAAAGGCTCTAAGCTCAACTTGGATCTTGTAAAAATTCATTTTTAGCATTAAAGGATTTCAGAGGTGGAATATATTAAATATAATGCTACAAAATTTCAGTATGAGAATAGTGAAAATCTATTAATAGATTTTATGATAAGAGTACTTGAGAAGAAAAACAAAAACCAAAAAACACAATTACTTTGGTTTGAAAAGACTGATATAATACAAAGCAATTTTGATTACCAGTTCAGAAGCTCCACAAGTTTGTGCTTCTGTTCTGGAAAAAACATGTTATCTGAGCTAAAGCATCCCAGTTGCTTTCAATATTAGATATGTCTTCATGGTAAACCATATGATCACACATTTTCTTCACCTAAAAGACCAGTACCTATACATGAATGAGGTTTTTCTTGCTTGTCTGACATGCTATGGCTCTCTGTTTTCTTTTTTGTTTGTGTTTGGGGTTTTTTTGGAGGGTGGGTTTAGGTTTGGGTGCTTTGTGTTTTGGTTGGTTTTGGTTTGGGTTTTTTTTGTTTGTTTGGTTGGTTTTTTTTGTTGTTGTTTTATGTTTTGGGTTTTTTTTGTCACTGTCTTCTGTTTCAGGGCTTTTTTAATGTTCTGAAAGCTTCTGTTAGCTTTTGTGTTTACTGGAAAACTTAATACTGTTGTCTTACTTCACAGCTAGATTCTATAACCAAGGTCTAGCACAATAGTTTAATGTGTGGTAGACAAGGGAGTAGCAGAGGAAGGAACACTTATTTTCCTCAAAGTTCTTTTTAATATACAAGTCTCTAACTAGACCCTGAACAAACTACGGATAGATGACATTTTACCTGCTGCTTTTGCTAAAACCTATCCACTTACTAGTGGCTTGTTAAGGACTCTGCATGACTCAACATGAATCAACTGTGGTTGTGTTTTACAGGCCATTTCAAGTATAAAATCTGCATTTCAGAGTCAAGTCCTCAGAGAATACTGATGAATGGTATGTCTGAAGTAAGTTCTCAACTTGTACAAGAGATGTTTAACAGCTATCAGTTTTCAAACTTCTATCACTTCAACAGCAGCCACAACCCCTTCCTTAGAACCTCTGCCAGAGACACACACAGCTGTAATTAAGTTTGACATCTCCAACTCTGACTTTACCTGAAGTTACAGTATCAGAAAAGGTGTTCTCACCTTTTCCTAATTGCAAAATGTAGGTGATGTTACTTCAAAGTAGTAAAACTATACAAATGAAAAGCATGGAAAAAATAAAGGCACCAATGTGTTACATTTTTTTTAACACTGTTAAAGTATTACCTTATTTTTGGCTCACAAAATGAAATCAGAAGGCAGCAGCTAAAGTTAGCAGGTGTGGTAGATATATATTGCTACGCACAGGTGGAAACTCCCTATTGTTTCTTCCCAGTCTCTATTCTCCCCCTACTGCCTTACATGCACCAAGCATCATATAACATTAATTCAGCAAGGTAAGTGTTGAGCATTGAGCTCTGCAAAGTAGCTTCAGCTATTTGCAAGAATGAATCCTTAAGTGTACTGTGATACTGCTGGATCACAGTCAAGGCCAAAATCAGACTAAGTCATTCAAATCAACATGAGCCAATCTGCAAAACTACAATCCCAACTTCAAAAGTTAGGACCAGCTGCTGTGCTACTTATATTCCCTAGAATTCCTCATTCAGCTACATAACTGGAGGCAGAAGGTGGGAAAAGATTATGATGATTTTTATGTATTTTATCCAGGGATTTTAAAGTATGCCTGATAGAAACCCGATTGCCTATTTCTCTATGTTGGCAGCAGTCAAAAAGAGGGCTTCAGTCCTATGCTAACCTATGTTTGATCTGGGCTTCTCATTCTAGTGTCCTTAGACTGAACCATGTGGTAAGATGCCTACAAAATGCACGTTACCGACGGTGCCATCCTCAGCCTCTCTTTCTGAATATGACTAGCAGTTCTTATTTAAAGAACAGATCCACCTTAAAGGCCAGTATTCTGTGGAGTCTGAAAGTCTC